CAATTGTTGCATCGAGTAACTGATTTTATAAAGTTTTTAATTATATTTATTTTATTTTTATCTTATATCTATAAATAAAATAACACAAATAAATAATTTATATTCAACTTTTATTCCTCAAAGTCTTAATAATGTTGTAATTTGTCATAAATATTTGCCACATAAATATATATATATATATATATATATATGTGTGTGTGTGTGTGTGTGTGTGTGTATATATGTGTGCGCGCGCTATTTTACTTTTAAAAATAAAAAAGTAAAAAAAATAATGATAGTCATGTCAACTCGTCAATACTTAGTTCTACTGACTTTTTATCAAGTTTGACCAAGTCCCTTCCTACCGTCCGAAAAACCCATTTGAACCGGTCCGGGACATGGGTGCACCAGGGTCGAGCCCGATTGGGTTCAATATAATGATCTCATCCAAACATTCTTGATCCTCTTGGTCGTCTCTTCTTTTTCCTTTTCATTTTTCTCCTAAAGTAAACTTTAGCTTTTCTTTGCTTTATTATGAGTGCTTTCGTTGATGACACTATGTTTGTAATTAATATTTTGCAATTTCATTATTTTACTTTTGAACAAAACTAACAAATGCTAAACCATTTTCAATGACATTTCATTGAACTAATGTGCAAATTCCCTTAAAATCGAAGTTAAATAGGTAACATCCCGAAAACCTCATTCTCGAGCTTGGATGACCTGCAAAATACGTCAGAAGGGATCCCAGTGAAAAACTTATGAGACTCAAATTAGAGATCTGGCTTTGTTTGAATAAGAAGTATATTGCACGTGATCATGTATAAGAACCTGTGAACCTCCTTTTATGTGTGCCACCGAGTTGTGACTGACCTAGACCGGCTAACCCGAACTAACAACTCTAAATGGTCCATCGAGTTGATATGGTGCTATATCATAACATAGTGACAACTTTTAGGCCATCAAATTCGGCCACATAATTCTCCAAATGATTTATCAAAAGGCAAATAACAATTTTAATACTCAATTTAAGGGCTAATTTCAAGGTCAGTACCCATATTCAAGCTATCTCAGTTTCAGTACCCTAACTATGAAACAACTAGCAAATTTAATACCTGACCGTTAGTTTGACAATAATTTTTACTAGAAACAATTGAAAAAGTATATTTTATTCAATATATATTTAAAATAATAAAAAGATAAAAATAAAAAGCAAGATTTGTGTTTTTATTAGCTCGTATATCTTTTTATATCTCATTTATTATTTTTTTACTTCTCAAAATATGGCTACAGATATTATGCTAACAAACATTCACAGCATAGAGGTTGCCAGGGGCGGAGACGCTCTGCCGGAAGCGTAATCGCAGTAATTTTTAGAAAGCATAGAGCAAATATATCAGAGGGGCAAGCTCCTCCTTTCTCGCCGCCATCTACACATGTCTTCATTGTTCTACTCGACTCCATACGTGAATACGGAAGCCGAGAGCTTCATCACGAGTTTTTGGGGCATGTTGAAGACGAGGAAGATCAGTTCATGAAGAAATGAAGGAAATGAGATATTATGCGTGGACTTGGCCCAAATTTTTAAATTATTTTTTAATATATTTTGAATTAACTATATTATTTCAATTTTTTGTTGGTTAGTTTTATCATCCAACTAACGGCCAGGTGTTAAATTCGTACTAAAATTAAGATAGTCAGAATGTGCGATACTAATCTTGAAACTAGTCCTTAGTCTGGGTACTAAAATCATTATCTCCCTTTTATCATATTATTAACAAGATGTTGGCAAATAAGTTAAAATAAAATTGAATTTGACTCGGTTTTAACTATTTTTTATGACTAAATATTTAATTCGAGTTGAATTAAATCATGCAAAAAAATTCTACATTCCAATTAGATACTCGTGACATATTTATTTTCTCAAATTAATTTGCGATGAGTGATGAGTGAGAAATAAATAATTAAACATAGTCACTAATGGACACGTAAAACGTTGGTTGTAGGATTCAAAGGGTAATGAGTTCTATCCCACATTGGATTCTTAAATGAGAATAACTCTCGTTATTGTATTAAAAAAAGTTGTAGATGTCACAACAACAACAAAACTAGGCACCAAGTATTGGTGATGTCTGTGGCCCCACACGCAAGCGTGCCTGCTTGCCGGTCGGCTCAACTCAGGCACGTGGGCCTTAGCCTTGGGCTTTGGCAATTGGATTGTGCGCTGGACTTGAGCGACCTTGACGATCTGGGTCGTGTTAGGCTTGGGCCTTGAGCCCAGCCTCTATAATCTGGACATATTGACTCCATCTAACCATTTGAGGTAGAGTAGTGGTGTGTTAACCCCTAAGACATCAGGCTTATGTGGGTCCATCATCCAAAATCATACCCTGAAGTTGGTTGATCTCTCTGCCGGCTGTAAAGCTTTAGGATGCAAGTGGATCCTAAAGAAAAATATAAAGTTGATGGGACGATTGATAAGTATAAAGTACGTTTGGTTGAAAAAACACTTTGTTACATCGGTTAAAAATCATATTCACATCAGTTAAAACCCATTTTCAGAACCGATGTTGAAACAGGCGATGTTAAAAGTCTGTCTTTTTTATATCGGTTACAAACCGGTGTGAAAAAAAACTTGTTTACATCGGTTTTTCTAAATAACCGATGTTATAAGGGAAAAAATAGGTCTCGAAAATGGAAAAAATCGATTATATTAACATCGGTTTTTATACAACTGATGTAAAGTAAGACATTTAACATCAGTTTTTATACAAACTGATGTGAAAAGGTTGTAAATACATCGGTTATCGACAAAACCGATGTAAATAAAGACATATAACATCGGTTACCAAAATAACCGATGTCATATAAGTCGTATTCACATCGGTTACTATGAAAACCGACGTCAAACATTTTTGTAGAAATAGTCTTTTTGCATCGGCTTTATAATAACCGATGTAAAATAAAGCATTTACAACGATTTTATTTAAATATACAATTTTTACCTATGAATCTAAAAATCTATTACTGCAAAATAATAACATTCATACATTCAAAATATTCTCACAAGTGAACAAAAACCCACATGACAAATACTAACAACCAAAATATTTCAACAACGCCAAGTTATAACAATAATTTTCATATGCACTACACCAACAATAATCATCAACCACATTTATAAAGTTCAGATTCCATAAAACGTAAGCAAACTGATAAGTCTATTTTCCTAATGAAGTAACCTCAAGAAAGTACTTCGACCACCGCATTTTTATATTTTCAATGTCCTCGTCATGATACAAGCAAATATTATCACTATAACCTGTATTTGAATTGTGCAATTTCAAATACAACAAAAAGTTGATTTTAATAAAAAAACTTACCTCTTCGAACGAGTTGATAATGTCAAGTGATATAATCTCGAGCATATACCTCATAACAAAATATCCACATTCTGTATTTACCAATTGTTTTCGACACTTGTATGAAAAACATAAAAACATCATTATACTACACAAACTAAATCGATGCATAAAACTAAGGAAATAATAAAAATCTCCAAAATCAAAACACCTAACATCATTCAATAAATTTACCTTAAGTGGAACCCATTTAGGCTTCATGTTACGTTTTCCCTTAACCATGAAGTACGTACGAAATACACTGCAACATAATAAATATTCATATTACTTGAAAGACAAAATAAGCCAAAATGTAAAAGATAATATATTTAAAATACATTTAGCAAAGAAAAGTTAACTACAAAATCAATCTAATTTATCAATTTAAAAACATACCTGTTAATCTTGTTTACCAACTCTGTGTTGGGATCTTTTCTCAACGAGCACAACCAAACCACTTTATTTTGTTTGGGACAAAGTATCATCAACTGCCAATGTTCTCTGTCAATCCAGAAGATAAATGTATTTAATTGGTACACTTTTTAATTTGTACTTCTATATAATGTTAATTAAAATAAAATAAAGCAAATAAAGTGAATTTTATATGTTTTATATTCTTACTCGCTAAAGTACGGTGCAAAGATACACTCGTAATTTTCTTTTTCCATTCTAATTCCAATATACCCTTCTATCTCTTCCTTACTATTGCCCCTTGTTTGAATTTTGAGCGGGCACAAAAATCCAAACTTTTTTTCTTTCTCGGATTCTTTCAGCACATTATAGAGAAGGTTTTAAACAAAAGAAAGGGTATGACTTCTTTGATACTAATTCACCGGTTACGCGTATAGCGTCGATAAGAGTACTTCTCTCGATTGTTGCTTTGCTCAATCTTAAGATTCACCAAATGGATGTCAAGACAAAATTTTTAAATGGTGAATTAGAAGGAGATCAAAATTTTATAATATCAATATAACGATTCATATTTATATTGTTTATTTTTACTCATGGTCAAAATTTTACAATATGTTATGTCCAATAACTCATAATTCTCAATATATTTACGTGCATAAAACTTATAATATTTTGTTCGTGTATGTACACGAGCAAATGATCTATGATCTAGTACTGATGCATGTTTTATGAAAGCTTATGTTATTCTGATTCAGTATGTTGGTGGCTCAGTTTGAAATAGATTAATTAAGAAATAGAAAGAGAGAAAAAAAAATCATCCAATCAAGTCTTACGTATATGGTCAACGTTAAAATTTCTTCGAAAAATAACTAACAATTGCACAAGTAGCTTTATTTAGCACATGTAATGAAAAAATATGGAAAAATAAATAAAACCACATCATTTCACACAGATCTCTCTAACCTCTTGCAATCTATATATTAAACGAGATAGACTCATAAGTTAACACGTCCCCACATACACACGCGACCCACTCCATCCCCAATTACCCAAAATCCCACACTGTCTGCACACACACACACACACACCCCAACGACGTAAGGAAATCCGCTTATATCCTTAAACCAACATTTGATCTGATAAAACGCCTCCGTTTTGATAACCTGAAGCGAGTATATTGTTCCCTTTTAACGAAAAACTAAAAGAAAAATGGATTATTCCCAAGCGTTTGATATTGTGAAGATGGAGAAGCTGAAGGCCATCACCAGGTACAATCTCCTCCGTCGATTCTCCGTCGCGCGTCACATTCTGGAGCTCGCGGCCCTTTTGGCATTCATCTCTTGGTCGCCGGCGGCCGCCAGGACGGCGGTGCGGATCTCCGCCCACCTGCTCAACCACCGCCTGGTTTTCCTCGTCGGCAACGCCATCATCGCGCTGCTGTTCGTCCTCTTCCGCAGCGCCGGCGGCGGCGGCAGCGTCATGAACGAAGACTACGTCAAGCACAGCGAGGCGGCGGCGCACCAGGCGCCTCCGCCGAGAGAGGTGGAGGGAGGCTGCGAGGAGAGGCGGACTGTGGCGGCGCGGCCGGAGGCGGAGCCAGGGAAGCCGCCGGGGGATGACTTGGCGGCGGCGATCGAGAGGGCGGCGAAGCAGATAAGGAGGTTCGAGAGGACGCAGTCTGAGAAGCTGAGGCGGGAGATCGGGGCGAGGCCGCGGGCGGCGCTGCGGCGGTCGGAGAGCGAGAATCGGCGGGCGGCGGCGGCGGGAGAGGGAGGGGCGGTGGAGATGGAGAGGCTGAGCAGCGAGGAGTTCCGGCGGACTGTGGATGAGTTCATCAATAGGCACTGGTGCAAAAAGAAGACGAAGGCGTAGGAGTGTCAAGTGTGAGAAAGTGTGAGTTGCTGCAAATGGCGTAAATTCTGTGTGAATTCGAGGAGATTAAAGTACATATCTAAATTGTCTCGATTCTCTATTGATCGAGATTTAGTTGGCTATTTCTATTTTATCTTTTCAGTTGTTTATTAGTATGTCCTACAACTATCCTTAATGTAAATTCTGAAACTTATAAACTATTATTATTGATTGGTCGTTGTTGTAAGACTCTTTTTTTCGAGTTATTTGCGAGGAAAAAAAAACTATTATTATTTATTAATTGGATTTTAATAGTAACATTTTTTAAATGTACAAATAGTTACAGGACTTCTTCTAAAATTTTATAAAATTCACGTAGATGTAACATATATATTATCACCTACTTGTCATTTCCGACCATAGTCCCACTTTAGTTAGTTTTCTTATTATTATTATTATTATTGAAATTGAGTTAAATGGTAATAAATATCGCGCTTAAAAAAAAATGAAGATATACAACATTAATAACAATATATCATCCAATTAATAAAATAAAAAAGACTTATTTACGGTTGTCTAATAAGGTTTTATTATTTTAAACATTCTCATTATTTAACTAATATATATTTGAGCATAATTACTTTACATATTATCTATGACTATAAATATGGACTCAAATGATAGTTCATGTGTACATGTTTCCAGCATTAAACATTTCATCTTTCAATACAATATATATATTTTGAATCCACATAATCAAAAGTGAAGTGCATATTGATCCGAACAATTAGGAAAATACTTTTAATATAGCAAGGTTATCGGTTCTTTTCCAAAAAACAATCCACTCAACCGTGATGTGAACATAATAGTAAAAATATTATTTTTCGTATCTTTTATTTTATTTACTTATTTTTTTCCTACGATAATAAGATGTTTAGATATAAATAATATATTTGAAATAAAGTTTTAAGAAAATGTTTAAAGGAAAATTTTCCGTCCGTGTGAATCCCGGGATCCAATTTAGTTATCTGATTTGGGGATATGCTTTAAGAGGAGAGAGAAGAGAGGAATTGACCTTTTTTCACTTGGTCTTTGACCAACGGTTTCACTTTCACTTATTAGCCCAACTATAAGAATTTTATTGTAACAGATTTAAATCCCCAAATCCCACTTCTAGGGTTTTGCAGAAATGGACGAAACAATTCCGTTGCCGGAGCCCATAATACATCGCATTCACTCCCTTCTCACCGCCAAAGAAGCTGCTCGGACAACTCTTATCTCAAAATCATGGTACACAGCCTGGTTAACTCGCCCAATCCTCGACTTGGACGAGACCGAGTTCAGAGAAACTAGCCGCCCCAACAACTACGACCGTTACAACTACAGTTGCTTCACGGGATTCGCGAAGAAGAAAATCCAGAGATGCGAAAAATCGAACCTAAAGATCGAGACTTTCAGGCTCTCCCTGCAGGGCGAGCCGCGGGCTGATTGGGAAGCATCTAGTCTTTCCTACGAATTGGTTCTGCCAGCACTGAAATTGGGTGCCAAATATCTCGATTTGAAGGTCAACGCTTCACGTGGAGGGAGACCCGTCTTGCCGGACGAGGTGTTAGGAGCTGAGAATCTCGTCGGCTTATCTGTGGAGGGGTACAGGATTATGGACCTGGTTCTGGATAAAAAGGTAAGATGTTCGAAGCTCAAACACCTTAGGTTGAAGGATGTGAGTATAAACCTTGGTGTTGTTTCTGAAATAATGTCGGCCTGTCCGTTGATTGAAAATTTGTCTATGACCGAAATTACTAGTTTTAATGGAGGGTGTTTGAAATCAACATTTTATGATGCTCTGATCTGTAGTCATAAGCTGACGTGTCTGGTTCTGTGCAACGTGAGATCCGATGCCTTGTTCTTCAGTGATGATTGCTTGTCGTCTAAATTTCCTTCCCTGAAAGATTTAACCCTTGAGTTGTGGTACCTCCATAATCACAATGAAGCTGAAAAGAAATTACGAGTTTCTATCCACTCGCTTGAGCGTTTACATTACGTTTCACGCCACTCTAGCCAGTTGGTGGTAGAGTTTGATGTTCCATGTATTCGTATATTTACATTCAACAATGAAAATTTCGAAGTTCCTCATGTGGTTATTGAAACGAATTCAACTGAATGGGAGTCTCATGTAACAATGAGCCATTTTTATCCCAATACTTCGATGTTTCTTGGGCTGAGTAAGTTCTTGACACAGCTGAGCCAATCCAAACTTTATCTCACTCTCAAAGTCGACCGTGTAGAGAGGGCTGACTACGAGATGGAGGACTTACTAGGTTTGCCCTGCACACTCCAACTCGAGAATTTGACGATAGAGACCAAATATCTAGCGTCTTTAATTGGTTATGCTCTTTTTGATGGCTTGTTTCGGTTATGCCGCCCAAAGTGCATAACTCAACATCTACTTTCTGTGCGAAGATATGGCAATGATCCCGGTGTAAGTGTAACTGATGATTTTCTTTGCAAGATACTCGAGCGAGGAACGAAGGGGCACTATTCGTACCCATTAAATTTTTTGTATGGTCTGCATGGTCTCGAGGAGGCTTACGTGCAGGCTCCTGCTGATGAGGCTGTTGGTGTGTGGAGACTTCTGACAAGTGATTTGTGCTCTGATATTGCTGCTTCTGCAAGCACGGATGGCCAGGGGAAGACAGTTCGAATCTTATTGAAATGGAAGGAGGCTTAGCTTAATGTATGTAAGCATGTTTATGATTTTTCCAGTTGCCCTTCTGTTGATTTTTGTGTTTTTCTTCTTTCTAGTGCCATTAACCGTTGATTTAATGAGATCAATAGCCTGTAGGGGTGATAATATGATTTTTCATTACTCTTTCCGCGTTTCTTAAGTTTGATTTATAATGGTTCGTAAATTACTTCATATATAGTACGTATAGAATATGATTCAAGTCATCATACTAATTTGGCACATAAGTTCTACTGTATATCATACCTAAATGAATGTCAAACCAATAAATGATTTTTGGATGTTATATACTATTGGATTAGTTGCTTCCATTGCATTGCACGATAAGTTTTGGTGATTAAAGTACTTATTCTTATGATATGGAGTGCACGACTGAATGTTCATACTGTGGTAATTATTTCCTAAAAGAATATTGCTTTCATTTTCCGGTAAGGCCCCGCATGGTGAACCCACAGCGCGACACCACAGCTGCCTCCGTCGTGTCTGTCACTCCATTTCAGTTAAGGCCCTCAGCAATAAATTACTCGATTCTTAAGCCACATTTGATTTCTCTGTTAAGCTGCATCCAATTTTACACCTTCTGTCTCTGTTAAGTGTTAAGCCTTTTAAAGACTCGGTTTTGTATTGGTTTATTAGCATTGGTTCTATGATGCGTAACTACTCGGTCCGACTTGGCCTATTGCTATCCCTACTCGTAACATAAAATTCACTGTGTTTATAGCAAATCGAGTGCCGCTCTAGTCTCGAGTTGTGCAAAACATTTGCTTAAATGTTATGCTACATCAATTTCAATGAAAAACAGAATTTAGGAGGCAAGTTTTCAAATTTAGGAATGTTAAGTGACAAATTGACAACTTTAAAAGTTTATATGGCCGAAGTGACAAAATGAAATACTTTGGGAGGCAACATTCATATTCTCTGTATGCATGAACAGCCCTAAGCATTGAAGCAGTAATGAGGTTTAACATAAATTTTGGACTACAGAAAAGCGAAAATATAGATCATAAAGTTTTTGAACTGTTAGCAAGGTGGTTTAAAAATGTGCAGTTGAGGATCAATCAAAAAAATATAACCTCGAAGCTTCTTAACAGTAGAAATACATAGAACTAAAGTTAAAATGAATTCAATTTATTACGAGATAAAATGCAAGGATCCTTAAACACAATATTGCAACTGCCACAATAATCCTCGCTTATCACATACCGGCATCACATTTATCTCATGTTTTTGCATTTTTCCTTGGACTTATTTACAGTGGACGGTATTGATGAAACCAAGTACAATGGAGTTTACGCCTTCAACTTCATATATAATCTGCATCACTTATGTACTTCATATACAAGATGAAATTATAAAGGCAAGTGTCAGAATTTCACGCTGCATCAATCGAGAAGTTNAAATTAATTCGGTATGACTTGGCCCGAGTATTTATAGTCGGATATATACAAAATATAACAAACATCATCAGATTCTTCACTAACTGAAAATATGACAAAGCATGTAAGATACAGATAAAATACAAAAACCACGAACAACAAATGGCGAGCTGACTTGTGGCTTAGATTTCATGGGCTAGAGATAATCCATCCTTCAACATGTCATGTCAGCAAATAAGACCAAAATTGTGCTCTATAAATTAATTTCTTGCATGAGCTGGAAAACAGAAAGTTGTTGATACACATCAAATTCTCGAAGGAGAAAGAAGCCGCATATCTCCTTCCAGACTCCTCACTTAATCTTCGCTTTCTGCAAAGACATAAAAATCACATTATTGTCAAAGGGACAAAGAAACAACACATATAAAATAAGAGAAACAAAAATGCAAAGCTCATAGACAAAGGTCTTAACTTAAATAGAGAACATAAAGGTTAAGCTATTGAAGACAGGTACCAAGTGATGACCTTTTAGAGCTTTGACAGTGATTCAAGGGCTAAGAATTACCTCTGAAGTCTGAAAATCATTTGTTTCAATAAGTCGGAAAGAATTAGTTAGAGGCAGTATAAGACCATACTAGTAATTGCCCGTGCGATGCACGGGATGGTATATTTCTAAACATTTTTTAATATTAAATATTAATTTAATGAACTTGTTATATTTGTAACAAAACTAAAACGTTGGACACAAACTACAAAATTCATAATTTATTGAAAACTATTTTGTACACAACGTTTTTTGTTTGATTTGGCGGCGAGTCATCGTCACCACAAACTAAAATTTTCAATTAATTTTGGATTTGGAGATTGCATCGCATGGGTACCGTATGTACTTGTTATATTTG